AAATAAATAAATAAATAAATAAATAAATAAATAAATAAATAAATAAATAAATAAATAAATAAATAATAAATAATAAATAATAAATAAATAAATAATAGAAAGAAAACAATGATAAAGAGCTAGAACAACAAATAGAACAACCAATGGAACCATATTCTATTCATACCTAGACACTGATCTCATGTTCCCTCTCAGCAATCTGACAGGTCCCCCACATTTTAGCCTTCTGAAAGACCATAAAGACTTGGTTTTTCATCCAAGCACTAGAGTAGAATGATAGGAATCTGTAGATCATGGATGTCCAACTTTTTGGCTTGTCTGGCCTGCCTTAAATAAAGAAGAATTGTCTTGGGAAACATATAAAATATATTAAAAGGATAACTAATATGAATCACACTATCAGTATCATTTTAGCCATTGTCTATCCATTGGAAGATGAAGGCCTCTTCTCCATGTTTCCTACCAATACAGTCCTGAGCTTGCTTTTGTCAACTGGGCCTGCAATACTTGCTGATGTCATTGATCCATCTTGATGGATCTCTTTCATGGATGATTTTTATCAAGTGGGATCCATTCTATGACTGCCTTGCTCCACTGGCCATCAGTTCTTCTTGCTATGTGACCAGCATGTTTCCATTTCAATTCTTTTACTCTCTTGATGATAAAGGAAATTCAATGGTGTGTTAAATGTGATTGGCAGGCATTCAGCAAGCTAAGCATAATTTTGATGACAACCTCACACTATGCCTGAAAAGTTTTTGATCAATGTGTACTACCTGCTCTAACATATGCTGGTGAATATGTGGTGAACCTCGCAATCAATATAAAAGCTATGAGCAGCACAAAGACCATGAAAATATACAGGCTTGGAATTACAAAACAAGATAGAAAAACCTGCACATGAATTAAACAACAAACAAAAGTATATGATATCATGAATTGCATAATAATGTTACATATTTATTATATTATGTGGCTGCATTATTTTCCAAGGCCTATGGGCTGGACATTGGACATGTCTGCTGCAGATGGTTGTTGGGGCATTATAAGGGAATGAATGAGGCACTTGACCTTTAGTTTTCATTTTTTATGGTTTTCTGACTTTGTAATTGTACTGTTGTTGTGAGCTGCCCAGAAATGTGCTCCAAGATAGGTAGTCTTACAATTTTTTTAAATGAATGAATTAATACCTAGAGATATGAATCAGTTTTTCAGGACCCTATAGAAAACCAGCAGGATCAGACTATCTGAATCTCAGAAGAAATATCATTCCATAGAGCAGGTGCTGAAACAATGAAGGCACATATCCTAGAAGCTCCAGATCAAAGCATTATACATCATACTTTGCCAGATCTCATAGAACAAGAAAATAGAATTGGAAATTGGTAATCCTACAAATAATTCAATGTTGTGCCATGAAATGCTTTATAGATGATAGCCAGCAACATGAATGGCACCTGGAAACCAAAAGGAGCCAGTACAGCCCATGAAATACTCATATGAATGTGATTTCCTGAAGTGCACCTATAAGTACTTGCACTGCTGCAATCTGGATCAATTAGCCTTAGAACATTGTTGAACATTAGAAGCCAGAGTAAAATATGATTTTTCAGGTGTCTCTAAAACTATTTTATTTTTTGAACATGTGACTATTTAAATTCCATTGGTTTCTTTGTATCAATTCTGTTTTTAAAAACTTCATTTGATCAACTGTAACTTTTCCCAGCAGTGAGTTGCCTGATTGGGAAGAGCTTCATCAGCTGTACAGCTATTAAAGGCATATACAGAAATTTTTAAATCATTCATATAATTGTTATAAACTTAGCTCATTGCAAATAGGTTTGTCAAGTCTCCCTAATAGAATTATTTTCCTGTGCAACCATCTTATATTCAGCTTTCTAAAGTACAAAATGACAAGGAAAGCCATGACAAGGAAAGCAACTCATACATGTCTTTCATGTATCAAACCACTTTAAGGCAGAAAATGGCAGCTCTATTTGCAGGCATTTAGAAGTATAAAGACCCTTCAGGGATTAGCTGATTTTTGTTAACATTGCCTAGAATAAATACATATACCAAAGGACTACATTTGAAAATATTTCACTGCAGCCTTGAAGAGCTTTTCCAAAAGTTGTCAGCAAGGTATAAATATTAATGTGACAAAAATATGAAATATGTAAGGATATTTTGTAATTATTTGATTATATAAAATATAATGAAATTAAAATGAAATTTGTTTTACCTTTGTGCCACCTATTTCTTAATCTTTAACACTAAGATTCTAATCTTAAAATTATAGAATCATAGAGTTGAAAGGGACCTATGATGTCATTATCTAATCTGCTACATACATCAGGATTCCTTACATCATCCCTGATAGATTACTACCGCATTTTCATCTGAAAACCTCCAGTGAAGATGTAGAAATCACTCTATGGAATAATCTGTTCTACCGATTTACATCTTTTACTGTCAATAAGAAGAATGTTTCATCTATATGAACCTCCTTAAAGTTCCATGACATTCATATTAATTTTCCACTCTGGAGAAAGCAAAAATAAGTCTGAATCTTCTACAATGTGACAACCTTTTAGATATTTGGAGAACTGTCATGTACCTACTTAATCTTCTGCAAACTGAAGATGCCTCGGTCTTTTAACCATTCCTCTTGGTTTTCATGTTTTTGACCATCAAGGTTGTCCACTTCTGGACTTGCTCCAATTTCTTCTTCTTCTTCTTCTTCTTCTTCTTCTTCTTCTTCTTCTTCTTCTTCTTCTTCTTCTTCTTCTTCTTCTTCTTCTTCT